AAACACATCAATTTACTTTTGATATCTAAATTGAAACAATTTATAGACATTCATTAATAACAGCATATTTCATAAAACTAGATAACTTAACTTACAGTATTGATAAACAGAAGAAGATTTTACCAAACAGCCTGCTAAAGGTACTGGTAATAAAGAAACATCTGTAGTTTTCGCAAATATCTTTTGGACCTTTTTTTATGAATTGGAGTAATCCATGCTTGTTTCCAACTATTCGGGATTTCCTCCCCATTTAAGTATCTTGCGAATAGCACTTTAAGATAGCTTATTAGTTTTGGTGTTCCGTTTTTTTAGAAGTTCTGCTGTTATGTTCTCCGGCCCGGATGCTTTGTTATTCTTCATCGATTTAAGCGCTTGTTGTATTTTTTCTTTTTCCACGTTTACATATTCACCTTGTACTCGTATTCGTTGAGGTGAGTCAGCATTATAAATATCTCTGTCTTCATTCAGTTCCCTTGCGTAATGATCTTTCCATGTATCTATTTGGATGGGCTGTATTCGACTTTTATTTGATGTGTCTGTTTTCAGGGTTTTTATTAATTTCCATGCCGCTGTAACAGTCATCTTCTTTACATTTTGCATCCCATGTTTCATTTTTGTTGTTCCTTGTCATATCTTTAAATATGCTTTGCTGTTCTTTGTATATTTCTTTATCATCAAGATTCTTAGTGTTCAGCCATCTTTTGTACGCTTCCTGTTTCTTAGTTCTTTGCTCTTCAAGCTGTGATCTGTGGACTGTTCTGGTTTCTTTGCCTAGAGCTTCTTGGGCTGCGTGGTGAATACAGTCAGCTATATGTTCGTATAATTGGTTGGTTTCAGCAGTTATAATTAAAAAGTGTTTTCGAAGAACAATGGACTTCATTAATGAATAGTTTCTAAGAATAACTTGTACATGAAAAATATTTTGGGGTTATTTCGAAAGTATTAAAAAATAATTTTTAAAAATCTTACAACTAATTATATATATTGTTTGGTAGACAGTGGTTTGTATATTATTTTTCTTCGAAGATAATTCTATAAATTATACCTTACCTTTTACAAATACGGATTTGCCTGTAGACATAAAAGAAGGTTAGTCTGTATTATCTTTAACTCATCATTACCATTGGCTCCACAACCCATGGTGGGTCTTTGTCTGCTCAAGGATAAGTCTCCATTCTTTCCTATTCTTCGCCTTCGCTTTCCAGTTCCGTACTCCCAACATTCTCAAGTCTTCCTCCACCTGATCCTTAAATGGTGCTCTGGGTCTGCCTCTCTTTCTTACTCTATCTATTCTTTGGTTATAAATATGGTCTGGCGGCTCTATCTCATTCATTCTCTCTATGTGACCTAATCACCGCAGGTTTATTTTGAGGGTCCTAATAATATCAGGTTTGTTATACAGGCGGTAAAGTTCGAAATTATAGCGTCTAAGCCATAGTCCTCCTGTACTCCTCCATAGATATGCCGTAGGATTTTACGTTTAAAGCATCTTCAACGTTCTTTATCGCTCTTTGTCATCGTCCATGTTTCTGACGCGAAGGTGAGGATGGGCTTGATAAGAGTTCTGTATATCACTAGTTTCGTTCTTTTTGTAACTAGGCTTGTTGTTAAAAAATTTCTTAATCCATAATACGCTCTATTTGCCACATATATCCGTTTGTTAATTTCTGCACTTACTGCATTATTCTAATTAATTTGTGAGCCTAGATATTTAAACTCTCCTTCATGGGAAGGAGAAATAGTTTCGTGTGAAACTATTCCTTCGAAAGTATATGTTCCGATCGTTAGATCTTTGGGTTGTGCTGCTTGTATATAATTTGATACTTTCATATACTTCGTCTTACTAGTGTTAACCTCTAGTCCCATTCTTTTTTTTTGTTGTTGCTTCAAGCGCCTTGAATGAAAGTTGCATCGGAAACTGTGGAGAGAGGGTGAACTGGTCCTCCAAGTTGGAGGTTGGGCGTAGGGTTAGTACCCCAACACCGTAAAAAACAACATGTTTCGAGAATTCAAGGTAGTTTCCAGACTGAAATCTACACCACGACTCGGTGCGAAAAAGGACAATGATTTAGGATTATTTTCATGTAATGTAAGATCTCTATACAGGCCAGGAGCCGTGCAGTCTCTCATTATCTTTTGTTAATGTAAAATAAGAAATTTTGAATATAGGTAGAAAGACTTAATGTGTATGATTGGCTAGGAAGAACGAGATTAGGAGAATCGAAAATTCGATTTGAAAATTGGACCAGAAGATTTGAATTATTGTGTTTTTACCATCCAGAACAAGAAGTCCAGTTTAAGAATAGTGTGTAAAAAATAAGTATAAGTTGTTTTTTGCGAGTTTAAGTTGGTAATAGCAGAATAGTTGAAGGCAAATCGAGACCAGGTCGAGAATCTCAAAGTCCCTGTGTCCGAAGAGACTCCTAAGTCTCTTAATAATTTTTTTTCTTGACTGTAAGTCGAGAAAGAAAATTTATATAAAGTTTGTACGAGATAATTAGTCAACGCGGGAAAACCATTTTGCTGAAAGGATGCCATTATTATTTTTGAAACGAGGCGGAGGTTTAATTTTGGAGAGATTCTGAACGAGTGCTGTTTTTTGTAAATATTTTGGAAGAAGAAAGCAGAACCACAATCCTGAGAGTAAATCAATGTCCATCGGGAAACATCGCAGAGAGTAAATCAAAGGTCAGTCAAATTATAGGTGAAATAAGCGGTGTATTTGTACCATATATGTTTTTTTAAACCCATATCATAAGGTAATTGATTAAAAAGAATTGAATTCACAAATCAGATAATTGGCACATAATAAAATTTTAAAATTATTCTATTAGTAGAATATTAGCAGATGTTGAAAATATTTTGTCTCATGCAAACAATTCTGACCTTTTGTCTCTTATGTCTTCTTCCAACAATATTCTGTTGAATTTCACTAATCGCTCTAGATAACCCATATCAGAGTTAGATAAGATTTACAAGGAGACGGTATCGTTTTTAAAAACTCACCCTAATCTTCTCGTTCTTACTAGTGACAAAGGTAATGCCACTGTACTCATAGATAGAGTCTTAGTCAATCGTTGTTAAATGATGATAAGTACTTTCAACTTCTCTCTACCAACCCTTGTTCTAAATTCACTAATAAAATAAATAAATTCTTTACTCACCTGGAAAACTTAAAGATCATTGATCAACCCCTTGCTAAATCTTTACATAATTGTGATGGGTATGCTCCCAAATTTTATTGTCTACCGAAAATTCATAAGCCTACATTGAGCATGAGGCCCATTGTTTCTTCAATCAATTCACCTAATATAAATATTGCAAAATTATTGACTGACATCTGGTCAAAATCTTATAACTATAGTAATGATTATAATAATATACATTCTTTTTATTTTATTGAATTGATTAATAACTTTAAACTTCTACAAGGTAACATTCTAGTGTCGTTAACTCCCTAAGAAATCACTGGAACTCCATGCAACCTAACTGTCCTGTATCCTGGGATGTATTTGCAGAAGTCTTAAAATTATTATTTAATACCAATTTTTTAGTCTTTGATGACAAATATTATTTACAAATATTTGGAATACCTATGGGTTCCTCAATCTCTCCCATCTTAGTTAACTTTGTACTGAATGATTTAGTATCTGACCGTTTGAGTCTTTTCGATTTCCAAATCCCTTTTATGAAGCGGTATGTTGATGGCCTATTACTAGCCTTACCTCCAGACAACATACGGGCCACCTTGTCTTTGTTCAATGAGTTTGATCCTCACTTTACTGTTGAACTTGAGGAACCCACCACTAATAGTATTGCCTTCTTTGACATTCGTGTCATCAGAATGGGAGACAATACTTTATTCGCGAGTTGGTATAGGAAACCAATGGCTTTCAATAGGTTTCTCAACTACCACTCCTGTCATCCTTTTAAATATAAATTAAACCTTATCAAAGCTTTCAGCTGTAGGCTGGATAGGTTAACACATCCGGTTAATCGAAGGGAATCCCTTCTAATGCTCAGAAATATATTGATTGGGAATTTCTACCCATCATCCCTTATTTATAAATACCTATATTAGCAGCGTTATGAATCCTCTTTAAATAACATACCCAATGGTGGCCAACTCAGAGTAATATCAAACAATACTATTAATAACACTGTTCTGCTTACTACTGTACTTGGACTTCGACTACCCATTACTCCTAGTTACCCTATTTCCCTCAAGTAACTGAAAAACTTATTAAACAGTATAAATACAATAACTTTCCTGTTAAAATTGCTGTTAAGAATGACAAGACAATCAAAAATTTGTTTTCTAAAATCAAAACACCCTTGTTTCTTTTGGAACAAGTCAATGTTACCTATCACATACCTTGTGCTGAGTGTGATTCGTGTTACATCGGTCAGGCAGGAAGATCACTGAGAGGGCGTCTTACGATACACCGCAGTGATATTAACCTATCCAAGCATACTTGTGCTCTTGCCCAGCATGCTATTAATACAAATCACAAAGTGGACTTACACGAAGTTGAGATTCTTGGTAACGAACGTAATTTCGTGAAAAGGTAGTTTTTGGAAATGTGCTCGATACTGAAACACCACAACGTTCTGAATAGGAGAACAGACATTAGTAACCCGAGCCAGATTAATCATGCTTTAATATTTCAGAACTAGGCTTCATCAGTTTTTTACTTTAATATTGTCTCCTGTGGTGTGTTTTTGTATACATTTTCACTTTTCAATACATTCGAATAATTTTTTTTTAAAGAATCGTTTATAATATCATTTGTTCAACTTACCAGCTGTTAAGTGGGAATAATGTATCACATGAAGAAGATCACATACCTAAACTAAATCTACTTTCTATTAATATCTTTAAGGGAACTACATATTGTAAATTTTAAATATGTTGAGTAAAAATTAGGCCATAATTATATAAATAAGAAAAATATACTTGTACAGTATAGTATAAATTAAAAAAAAAATTAATTTCTTACATGACATGAACCTAGTCCTCCATCTAAATTTCCTGCACAAATCATTCTCTGTGTAAAGAAGGGCAAAAGTTCTTCACATATTTGCCAGTCAATTATGTTGATGTTAACTTCCATCAAATCATCCGATGTTGACATGATCTAAAAAATAAAATAATTTAATACTTTTCACTGTTTCCAAAAACTTGTTAAACTGTTTCCAAATAATATAATATTATATTCAATATATATCTAAATCTAAAATGAATACTATAGTCTTAAGTACTATAAAACTTTTAATAAGTAGTATAAATAAAAAAAATATATTAATCAATCAAATTATGGATGAAATCATAAATAGTGTCAATAAGGAAAGAGGATTCAAAATGGGGTACAATGGAGATGTTGAAATAGAAGTAAGAGATAGAGTACAAAAAGCAAACAAATTAGTAGGATACCTTAATAACAGTAAGCGTTTTATTAACTGTAAGATGAGAATGAAAATCTATAAGGTTAGTATAAGACCAGTAATGGCGTACGCATCAGAAAAATAACCAACACAGCTAAAACTCAGTGTGCTGGAAACTGCAGAAATGAGAGCAGAAAAATTTTAGGACACCCATTGAGTGACCGAATAAAGAGTGACGAGATAAAAACAAAATGTAATCTACAGAGTATAAACAAGTGAATACTAACAACAACAAAAATATAACAATCACATCAGCAGAATAGTATACATAAGAGTCGTTCAAATAGCAATGGACAAATCACAAATGGCAGAAGCAGTATCGGTCTACCGCGCAAGAGGTAGACTGAGAATCCTCTATAGAAGCAACAACGCCAATAAACAAGCAAAAATCCTTATACTTGAAAAGAAAGAATATTGGTAACCAGATACGACTGCATTTTAGAGTGAACTTCGCGAAGCAGGGTAGAATGCCATACGCCTATGAAGATTGGCAAGCATAATGGTCGTTTTTTTGAACTTGCTGCTCCAAACAAATCAATCGAT